TGACTATGAAGTCCAGAACAGTCTCAAAATCATGGTCTTCCTGCTTCAGCACCCCAAATGTTGGGGTTACAGGCATGTGCCACCATGCCCACTGTGACTTTGTTCAGTTCTGACAACCTCTCTTGGTCTTAGAACAATTTTCTCTAAGAACATTGTTGATTAACTATCTTATGGTCTGGTCTGACTCCTGCATTGTGGGGATAAGACCTACTCCAATTGGTCTGATCCCACAGTAAAGGGAGTGTAAATGACAGATGTTAAGGAGTTAGTGCCATTAAAACTCTTTATAGCCAGATTCAAGCATCCAAGAAGTCTAGAAAAGTCTAGAAGGAATGACCCTCAGGCCATACCCAACTGGAGTCCATCCTTGAATTTAATTTTGTCTGATCTTGGGTGATTTCCTCTCTCTCTCTCTCTCTCTCTCTCTCTCTCTCTCTCTCTCACACACATGGGCCAAACTCAGGCCACACACATACACACACACACAAACACTACTCAGATTATTTTGTTAGAAATTGTGTTTTTGCAAAATATTAACAGAGAATAAATAAGTTTTACAAGAAAATTACAAAACACAACTGAAATTAATATTTAAAGAGAAATATTAGTTTGAAAATTAAGTACTTGTTAGAGTCATTTTTTAAAGGAGTGTGATTATAAATCTTTGGAGAAGGCTCCAAACCATGAATGACAAGATAGCTCAATGACCCTCCAGGCCCTTCAGGACTAGATTGAGTCTCCTGCTTAAACTACTACCCTTAAACTTACTGTGCCCTTGACATGTGTATGGCATCTCAAAGGGGTATGGGCCTGGCCCTGAAAGAGGAGTGCTGAGTCAAAAATAGTATTAAATGCAACAAGAAACTAAAGGAACAGACATGTGATTTAAGACAGAGAGCTCTTGAAGGACGGCTCCTACAGAAGGGACACAGAGCTGGTTTTCCTGGTTATTGCCTCTTTTTGGTCTACCCACTGGCATAATTTGTCTCCTTCTTTTCAATCCTACTTACTTAACCTTCTATACAATTGGCATCTCTTAGAATATGAAGTATTAAACATTAGATGGCTTTGTCTCAGAGATATCAACTATTACCATCAACAAAGATGCCTGTTTCACACCACTGAGTACCTTTCAACATCCAGATAATGAATGATCTGTTGCAGGGTGAGGGGTGGATATAGAGACAAAACGGACAAAACAAAAAGCAAAATCCCCACTCTTTAACAATCAGACCCTGAGTGCTGACAGCCTGACCCAGTGACTTGTGATGCCTTATACAAACAACTCAATTTAATTTTTCTAACGATTCATAATGCCTCTTCCCAAATGCTCAGTCTTAGGACTGACAAATAGTGTTATAAAGTAACTACTTAACAAGATAATGAGATGTCCACTTCTTAGCTATCCAGATACTGTCTCCACACAAATGTTTACAAGATAAAAACCAACTAACTTGTCTTAAACATTGTAAAGGACCCCCTTTTCTTCTTTGAGTATTTAGCCATTGTGTTTCTCTCTCTTCTATGGTTTATATTGTTTAAAATTTTTTTTATATAGCAATTCTGGCTTTGTAAACACTTTTTCCTCTGTGCTTTTAGATTTTCATTCTTGGCTTGACAAGTGACTTTCTATCCAACAAGAAGACTTCTAAGACTCAAGCCCATGAGAGAAGGCTGGAGTAAATAAAAACCAGAATAGCAAACTGCATCCACTAGTCTTCAATAGAAAAATGAGGGAAGGATTTATGAAGTTCCACTTGAAGGCACTCATATTTTAACAGTCATTACTGTGCTGGACTAATTCATATCAGTGTCAACTAAAACCAACAAGCAAACAACAACAACAACAACAACAAAACAATTTTAAAAATCTCTAGCTGGGTGTGGTGGTACACACTTTTAATCCCAGCTTCACCAGCTTCAAGAGTTCAAGTCCAGTCTTGACTACACAGTGCGTTCAAGGCCAGCCTTGGCTACATGAAAGCCTGTCTCAAAATCAAACACAAAACCTCCATATGCTCACAACTATAAAAAAAATAGAAAGCCTTCAGAGTAAGTTTTCTTTAAAATGCTCAAATATTCATTCTCTCTACTGTTTGGAATTCTTTTCCTCACACACTTCACTTTGCTGAAGACTTTTGGTCTGTGATATAGGCCACAATTAATAATAACTATTTCCTCTGCTATAGTAATAAGCCCTACAAAACTGCCAATTACAAAGTCCGAATAAATATAACAGAAGCAGAGGTGTTACACTGACGATGTTATTCAGCCTAAAGAAAGCACAAACACATTTTCATTTTCCTTAAAATCTAATGTGAATGAATATAGTTTCTACCTTTTGCTTTTCTATATTTTATGTTCTTTGAATAATGTCAAATACCTACCATTAGCAGATCTGCCAAGCAACTTGAGCTTTCTAAAGCTCTGGCTATGTCACAATTCCGGACAACCTGAAAGCCCACGTGGGGCCAGGTCTGTCTTCATAAGACCCACTCCTCCCAGTTCTACCAAAGCCTCTTTCCTCCTTCTGGAAGACCTGAAAGTCGCTGGGGTGACTTATCACAGGCCAGGCATAAGAACTTTACAAAATATGCTCCAGTAATTCCAAAGCAGTCAGTATTGAGACCAGAAAGTGATTGAAACAGCTACTAAAGTCCGACATGACTGCTGCAAACTGTGGTGAACCAACGATGTGGCACAAGACCAGGTATACAAATGCCTCACCTGGGAAGTGTTCTTACCATCAGTTTACTCAGGAAACAATGATGTGCAGGGGTGTTCAAGTGCTATAGCTCTGCATAGAGCAGCCCCACATGAATAGATGCACCCAATAAGAAATTGATCAAATGAAGGATATTACAAGATAGATCAGTATTTATCTTCAAAAACTATAGATTTTTTTAAAAAATGGAAAACAGGACATGCTTTTGAAAACAGCATAAACTTAGTAAAAGATAATAAACATTCACATGGCTCAAAAATCAAAACACTTATTTTATGTGTGCACATACATAAATATATATTTTAATTTTCTCTCCATAAAGATTACATACAAAGTATATCATTCTGAATCTAGAATTTTATTCATAATTTTTAGAGCTCATTTTTGCCCCAATACATGGACATGTGGAGAGCTTAGGGGATAAATTTTATTTGATAAATTCCTACTAATAGATGATCTTTAGGTTTGGTTCATTTCCAATGATTTGTAAGTATAAAAAAGCTGAAATACAAAACAAGTTATAAAATTTTAATATATGTGTTTTAAAAGGGTTTTAAAGTAATATATATTAAAATTAAAGCTACTTTATTCAACACCGAGGTTTACTTTGTTAAATTCAGAAACCAAGCAGATTGCCATCCAGAAACAAAACTCAGGAAAGACAGGAGTTCCTTTGGATCTACTCTTCCATGCTCCTGAATTGATCAGATCTCTTCAGATCAAGTTCCTGGCCCCTGTTCAGAGTTATGGAACTACTTCTGCACTGGGTAGCACAGATGCCAAGACAGAAAACTCACTCAGCAATAGCTTTTGAGGGCTCAGATCACTGACCAGGGCACAGGCAATGTCTCCTGTGATTTCAAACCTCTTAGCACCCTCCTTCTGGGCACCCCTGAGCCTTAGCACTGCAGAGAGAACGCTGGAGATGGGGGCAGAGTAGGCGGGGCAGAGTGGGTAGAGGAAGGACCTGCTGTGGCTGATCGTTT